CATTTAAAAAAAATAAACAACTTCAAAAATACGTCACGACAATCGTGTGTGTTATTGTTTGGGCTGGTGATGTCGGTGTTTATTTATTGAAAACATACCGTAAGTAGCGTTTTTTAAGTTTACCCTGAATATAAATGTTTATAAACTATACTTTAAGGAGTAAGTTCATGGTAAACGTTAGAACCACTCAAACGGAATATTATCATATTTACCCAAGTACACCAAAAATTTCATTAGTGCTTTTTAAGTGCAGGATTTGCGGTGTATTACTGTATTTTATTTGACATGTTTTTATTATAGTACGGAGGGTATTTATTTAGCAATGCAGAATAATAATTTTTATTTATAAAAACTTGTATTTAAACTGAATCCTTTTCTAATTTGCGAAACCAAATAGCCGCCATTTTGCGGTAGGATGAGCCCATCGCGTGAGCGAGTAGCTTACCATCAGGCGCACGACTTGTTCGTCCCGTCACTTGATATTATAAAAGAAAAGATGTCAGAGCATCGATTGTACGCAGTACAAGAAATGAGTATCGCAGTTAAATCGACTTCAAGGAATTCCAATTAACACTATCTTTATTCTCGCCTTATTGATAATCTGCAACTGTATTACGTCAGCAACTCCATTATGGAGCCAGGGTCTATTAGAGATATTGAACGTAAAAGCAGCGTCTGTCGTTTCAATGCATTCTATACCTTACAAATTGCATCGACCGTTCGCCATTTTACAGGGCGTCTGCGGACGTTATTTTACGTCCCCACGTGCTGTCTAGTCGAATCGCAGGCTGTCTCAAATATGGGCAAAAATCAATTTGGTCCGTTCGCGGCTGAGCGAGCCTTTTGTGCTAGTGAAAGGTTATCGTTGTTCGTTTTCACGGCTCACTACGGGTCACTTTGTTCTAACAAGCCTGTATGGGACGGTGATTATAGTACATTTCCACCTTCTCTTTGCGTTTCTGTTGAGAGTAGAAATTGCCGGCTAATAAATTAAAGACGCGAGTAATACAGCTATCTGGTCTTTTGTCTGAAACTACCGTGTATAATAAAATTTCTGTTTTTTTTTGTTTTTTTACTTCATCATGGCATAATTATTGTATATAGCTTCAAGTAGTGTATTTCCTGTCTGTTTAGCACGTCAATGCCTACATGTCACGCGAAGCGTAGGGTTGTCACATTAGTTTTCTTGTACCTAAGTTATAAACGTAATTTGAAAAAAAAGACAGTTTCATTACGGTTCTTTCATGCTATATTGAAGTACCTTTGTCAAATGCAATACTTACATATTGATATTTTTATATCAGTGTCGCGGATTGGTATCTCGATTATGGAAGTATGATCGTGAAATAGAAATGAAATGCGAGTTTGTATACAGGGTTACTTATCTGTAAAATACTAATAACGTACGAAAAGTACGTTTCGAATAAACAGTGACAAAAATGTAACTACCTACATTAAAAGTGTCTAAGGATCAAGATATTTCTTTTTAACTTTTGATTACCCTACTCCATTAAATTAATCAAATTAAAGTCAAATAAAAATATCTACATAAATTTATTAAATTATTTATGTAGTTAAATTTTTATTGAATTGATATTAAATTATTTTTTTGTGAAATTACTTCACTAGTTTCTTATAATTATTAATAAAAAGATCGAACACATAAAAAAAACCTTCGATCCGGCCCGATTCCAATGTTTTTCGGAAATATTTATTTAGTTATTTATTAATTTAAATTATGAAATTGACTATAAAGCCATTGATGTTAAAAAAAATAATTAAAAAACCTGATCCTGACTCTTTGACACTTTTAATGTGTATATTATTTGTAACTTAAGTATCAGCAATAATTTCTGGTTGAACATAAAAAATCAAATTGAAATTGGTCTTATTTTGGAAGTCCCAAATCAAATCAAACAATCATCAAACATTATCCTAAAGCCGATTTAATATCCTTTTTAGTCAACTCGGCAACATAAGGGCCATTTGAAAGCTCTAAACCCTTTGAACTTTCGGACTTTGAACACATGTGCTCAAACATTAAAGGGAGTTTATGCCTGTTCATTACGACGCTCTTGGGTCCTCACTTGTGATATTGGATGTTCAGTTTTATGATCTCAAACTTGCACCTCACTCTTTATTGGGCTAGTTTTGATAGTTTGGAAAAATATTGCTGTGATTAGCGTAACTAAGTAATTATGAACATACTATATAACTTTATCTCATATTCACCATAACGTGAATTATGGAGTCGTATAAAAATAACGTAACCATTATATTTTTCCTTCAGATCGGGGCGCCTGTAAATTTATTATTGTTTTAAAAACAAAACGCGTATTTGTGATAGTTACGAAATGAGTAAAGATTAAAAACAATTTTAAAAAGAAACTAAAAACGTTTAATGGTCAAAAATTAAAAAAAAACTTATTTTGAGTAGTCTCGTGGGCTGGTTTCATATATTTTTCGCTTGGGTGCTATTTAAAAAAATAATAATGTCATTTGTGTCCTGTTTTGTCAAAGCGGGACATTGTTAAATATTTTGGGGACAGCGGGACTCGAACCTTTGAAGCGGAACTGTCCCCCTTAAAGTATGCCGTATGGTCACTTTGTATAAAGAATAACTTTAGCGATCGTACAGAGAAACATATAAGTTTCTACGCTGATTAAGATTATGCACGATGGTCTTCAGCAGTAAAAATATCAATTTGATTATTTTTATACATGGACAACCTCCCGCTTGACCAAAACTTGACTATGCCAAAATTATTTTCACAAAAAAAAGACTTAATGGTCCCTGAGGCAGTTTCATCTGTGGTTTCGGATTTCCCCGTACTTTCCCATTAAAAAAAACACTGTATGTGGTCAGTGGTACGTTTGAATGTTCTTATTGTAATAGCACATGACCAACCAAAATTGTGGAATGGAGAAAACACAATTTGATAATAAAAAAACTGAATGCATCTTATAGCGAATCGTGTGATTATTTTGATCTAACCTCCAGAGACCCAGGACTCAAAAAGTTGTTGTAAGTCTTCGATTTTTAGAACAATGCACAACGATGAAACGAAGACTTAGAGAAAAATAATAAAAAAGTCTTTCCCCACCGCAAAAGTAAAAAAGGGGGGTATCACTGGCCTGCCACTACTGCGGGTTTAACTCAGAATAAAGATGGTGAAATGCACACGGTGTATGTGTTTTGTCAAATTTTAAATATACTGCTAAACTATGCTTAATTTTTGCTTTTGCTTTTTAAAGATAAATTTAATTTTTTTAATTATTTCTGGGGATGATATTCATAAAAATATCGGTTAGCCTTGTTAGATAAGGATATATTATATTCTTAATATTTCGGAAAAGTTAATGTATTGCATCCATTAACTCGAGATTTAAACCGATTTATTTTTGTACCTTTAACATATTTCGGGAGGTGTTGAGATCAACTGTCAAAAAACAGTCTTAAAAACACGAGGAACAGGTTGCACCAGCCTACGTGTTAGGTTTAATGTCAGAGTTACATCTGTATCTTCAGGCTCTAAATAACTTTCAGGGTTACTGCGACGGCTGGTCTAGTCCTATAGAGCAGAGTAGATTGAAACAAAACTCCAGAAATGGCATTTGATCGCCATAGATTAAATGTTTACTTCCCAGTGGATACTACTACCTGCTCGTTAATTGGTACATTCTCGTCTCTTTGGTTTTCTTTACATTTTTCAAAATTTGTATAGGTATTTCTTTCATTGCATGAGTAACCATAAACAACTTTGATATTGGATCTCAATTAAAAGTATCTGGCACCTATAAGAGCTACACTTATTTCAGAAGCCAAAAATATGAGAATACTCAAAGTACAAATAAAGAATACACAAGCCAATAAATATTTTCGTTTCTTTTTGGACTAGTATTTAAGGGTGAATATCAACAAATGCATTTTATTGTAAGTTTTGGTGGCGCAATTTTTTTTTTTAGATTTTCCAGTATCCGACACTCGTTTGCAATAAAATGAAACATTTCATTTATATACACGTGACCAGGACATAACCATTTCCATTAATTTCAGAGATATAAGCATTGACTTACAATTATAATAAGCAATAAAAAAATTTTCTCGCCACCAATACTTAGAAATGCCACCAAAACGCTTATCGGTTGCACCAGAATTGAATATTGCCACCAAAGTTGGAATATATAAAAAACAAAGACTATTAAGTAAATTTAATTGTGATAAAAATTTGTTTACCCCTTTAAAACGACGCACAGTTGGAATTTTCTTCTGCTTTTTCTTTTTAATACCATGTGACGGGACGAACGAGTCATGCACCTGCTGGTAAGCTACACGCTTGTCTATAACAGTGGCAGTGCCACTCAGAGCTTTAAATAAGCAAAGATCTGAGGAGCATTGCCACTGTGCCCGTCACCCTGAGACGTAAGTTGGCAAGTCCCATGTGCCTGTAACTTCACCAGCACCCTTACCCTTCCAAACCTAACTATGCTAACATTACTGCTTGGCGGCAGAAATAGGTAAGGTGGCAGTACTTTCCTGGATTTTAGTGAATGAATTCATTGTTGTTTTAATTGGCAGTTGAAGAACTATGATACACAACGCCATCTGTACGAATGTTTCCTAAAGATAAGTTGTAGAAACCCAAATGTTTACCATGAGGACATACGGTAGGTTTCTCCGGACATTAAGGCTTGATGAGGCATCATCATCATTCACAGACTGATTTCACCCACTGCTGGGTATAGGCCTCCCGAAGTTTGTGCCATCCATCACGGTCCCGTGCTAGCCGCATTCATTCATACGCCGCGACGCGCACCATGTCGTCGACCCACCTTGCAACAGGGCGCCCGACGCATCTTTTGCCCATCCTCGGCCACCAATCGATGCCATCGAAAGTCGATGTCTTGTTGGTGGAACAAGACATCGACTGATCATCACCTTGCCTAGCTAGGTGTCCCGCCCATTCCCATTTGAGTTCCATGATCCGAGTTCCAGCATCCTAGACTTTCGTCCATCGTCGGATCTCAACGTTCGGAACTCGGTCTACAAGGCTGATGCCGAGCATAGCGCGCTTCATGGCCCTCTGTGCAACTCTCAACCTGTATACAGTCTCTTGCGTGAGCGTCCACATGTCGTCACCTTAAGTCATGGCGGGCAGAACACATGGATTAAACAAGCGGGTCTTCAGACACTGTGGAACCTTACCTGATTTAAGGATGTCACCTAACTTGCTAAACGCAGCCCATCCCAGCTGGATTCTTTTTGAGATCTCTTTAGGCTGATGCTCTTTGCCAAAGGATAGAACATGTCCGAGACAGACGTACTGATCGACTCTCTCCAGCCTCTCATTTCCCACCGTGACAGTGGTATTTGACGGACTGAAGAGATTCGCCATAATCTTCATCTTGGACATATTCATCCTTAGGCCTACTCTCAAAGAAGCATCATAAAGTTGTTCCAGCATCCTTTGGAGATCGTCGAAACTTGCAAATAGCACGAGATCGTCCGCGAATCTTAGGTGAGACAAATGGTGTTACACCATTGATGTTAATGCCGCGGTTATCCCGTTTAAGGGTTTTTACGACATCTTCAAGTCCTCGCCGGATTGGAACGGGATTGGTTAAATCGTGAACTCGTACCTGCAGAGTGGCTGAACGGTAGAGCTCCCGGGGCACATCCACGTAACGGGAATCGATGTGGCAGCGATGAAGAGCGTGGAACACGGCCCAATGTTTGATACTGTCAAAAGCCTTCTCATAATCGACGAAAGCCATGACAAGGGACCGGTTATATTCGAGACATTTCCCCATCAGCTATTAACCGTGTGGATATGGTCGATGGCTGAGAAGCCGCTCCGAAAGCCAGCCTGCTCAATAGGCTGCGCTTCGTCAAGTTCACTGGTAAGCCAGATGGTCAAAATCTTTGTAAATAGTTATAAATCTGAGAGAGCAAGCTAATCGGCCGATAATTGCTTAGTTTTGCAATGTCGCCTTTTTTGTGGATGGTGGTGACGATGGCATTCTTCCATTGCTCTGGTGTTCGAGCTTCATGAACAACTTTGTTGAAAAGTTTCACAAGCACTTTTACCACAGGATTTCCTCCTGCTTTGAGTAGTTGGACTGAAACACCATCATCTCATCATCATCGGATGATAGTGTTGATAAGGCACTGAGTACTAATTTAGAGTTATTACTTTTTCTTCAAATAACCTCAAGAATGAGCCAGTCTTTTTGAACAATGTCGTAATGTACACGTTTAATTTGAATATTATTACCGGTAGCTTTTAACGCCAGATGATCGAATCAATGTCAGTAATGTCATTCCCAAACGACACTGATTGATCTGTAGTTGTCTTTAAAAATCCTCCAACTACATCCGGGGCACCCGCGATTATTGTGAATGTGGACATGGCAAGGGTGCCCAGGAGTTGAAGGATTATTAAATAGAACTGCAGATCAAAGTGTCATTTGGGAACAACATTACTGATATTGATTCGTTTATCTGGCATTAAAACCTGCCATTGATAAAATTAAAATTAAACCTGTAGAAAATTACGAAATTGTAGAAAAGACTGGCCTTTTCCTGGTAACATGGATTTTCTTCAGGTTGTAAATAAATTTTATTGAATGTCAAGATGTTTCACCACTATGATATTCAATTATTTTTTGTGAAATTACTCCACTAGTTAGTTATAATTGTGTTATTTCTTCAGGTTATTTGGGAAAAGTAACAACTCTAAATTAGCATTCTGTGCCTTATTTTGCATCAAGTCTCAATGTCTCGATAAACCCACCGCATGTCCTCATGGTAAACATTTGATTTTCTACAATTTATCTTCAGAAAACATTCCTGGAGATAGCGTAGTCTATCGTAGTTATTCAACTGCCAATGAAAACAACAATGAACTAAACTTTCGTGTTTCAGGTTCTGAACAAAATCATGTAATCAATGATATCACCGTTAATTTAAGTAAAATACAAATTTAAAAGATCGCTAAGGTACAAATAGAATAAAAAGCAATTAAGTAATTTTTGGTTATCTGAAAAATTATGAATAACACTATCTTTCTTAAGTTTATTGGGACAAATAAACTATAATACTTTAAAACAATTTTCGAAAGTGAACGTTATATTCAAAAATATCATAACAATTTAAAATTTGGTGGCGTTTTTAAGTTAAGGTGGTAACACAAACGCCACCAAAACCACCAAATTGGAGCCACGTAAGATTAAATCTCAAAAAATAAATAACGGGAAGAAAAAAGTAAAAGCTTAAAAATAAAACCGAGACGATTAAATTGTGATAAAATAATGACAAAATTAGTCTCTTAATTTGGTTTCAGAATACGACCTTAGGATAAAACAAAAATTGAGCCCAAATGGAGCCAGGGAAGTTGAATATTTTTTGTCACACGTGCCACCAAAGGGCATATAATTACTTTTTTGGCGGGAAATGGAACCCAGTGCCCATGCTTTTCGCTCCCAGGTCCTAATACACGACAGAGGCTTGCGCGGGGCAAGAACGTAATGGTTTTTAGTTAAACTACTTACCAGTTGCAACCAGTTGAATATTTGCCACCAAAACTACAATTTTCGCGTGAACAAAGTTTGATCAAACACCCAGTCTCCCACATACTGGTAATTGAAATACTTTCAATGATTTTAGTTAGCGTTTCTCATAGTGAATAACATACATGGAATTGTTTTTCTTAAAAGCGTACACATTTTACCAGAACGACTATTTTATACAATGAAACAGACAGTGGACACACCAGCAAAACTGAAAATCGGGACATTAATATTTTTTATTAATTATTATTGTACAATGAATTTTCTGAAATTCTTGCCCTAAACTCATTTTACGTCTAATTAAACTATAAAAAATAAATCATTAATATTTCTTCACTTTACACCTAGTTTCTCAGCCTGGACTCGCAAAATTTACGCATGAGATATTCACCCTTAAAAATCTGTCATTCTGGTTTACGCTGCAACTTTTTTAATATTAAATTTATTTTACAGTTTAAAAAAAATGTTAAATAATAGGGGTTAAAGTATGAAATTGCCGATTTGTACATGTAATGCATGCTAGATTTATATATACTACCTATATACCCGGATCATACGGGAAGGTACTGCAATAGTTGCAGCAGTTGCACGTCTCTGATTGAGGACGTAGAAGACTAATTTCTAATAATAAGTTTGAGTGACCTTTCTTTTAGTATATAAGACTATTAATTGCTATTATTATTCAGAATATTTTACTAAAAATAATAGGGGTTAAAGTATGAAATTGCCGATTTGTACTGAAAATCTAAATTGTTTATTTTTTAAATTTTTAACAAATTTATTTAATCAAAATAGTTGCCATTATTATCTATACATTGCTGCCATCTAATAGGAAGGTTATTAATGCCTTTGCGATAGAACTCCGACGATCTAGACTGCACAGTTTGTGCAGTCTAGATCGTCGGAGTTCTATCGCAAAGGCAT